CCCCTTGAGCCTCTTCTTGGACATGGTGTCTCCATTCCCCACCCCCGCCTCCAGTTATCCCAGTCAGGACCAGGACTTATTCCAGTTGCCTCCTGTTTTCAACCACCCCACTCATGAGTCAGGGGTTCCTGTAAACTTCACTTCCCCAAAAATGTCTGCCATCATGCCCTTCCTCCTCCCATTCCCTGTCTCCTCCCCTCCATTGGCATGGCCAGGCCCTTTTCGGTCTTGACCATTGCTCCACTTCCCACCCAACGTCCCGGTCTGAAGCCTCTCGCCTCCTTGCTATGGCCCTCACAGCACAAGCCCTGAAAAATTTTCCTGCAGCCAGAGCTAACACTGCCTCTTCCCTGCTCAGAGATCTCTCTGGTTCCCCGGAACCATCAGTCCAAGCTCCTCAGCTGATCATGTCCCAGCACCTCCAATCTCCCCCTGAAAGACCCCAGACATATTTGCAGGGCCCTTCATCTGCCAGGCTGTCTCACGGCCTGTGCTTTTTCCCCTCCACCTGAGGTGCCCTTAGCCACCTGTTAATATGACCAACTCCCCTACTAGTCTCAGCTCAGCCTCTTTCCCTGCGGGGTCTTTCAGCTTTCTGAACACCTGGATTTGCATTCGTGAGTATGTGTCACACAGTCAGGTGTCTCCTCTTTCTGTTTGCGTGGGGTTGCGGGAGAGACGGCCTCTCAGCTCCACCCTCCCTGCTCTCACTGTCTTCCTCACTCAGCCCTGAAGACCCTGAGCAATGGCACCTCGCTGCCTGTCCTGGAGGGTCAGTCCCTGGGCCTGGTCTGTGTGACTGACAACAACTCCCCTGCCTCACTGAGCTGGTGTCAGGAGGGAAGAACACTGAATCTCTCCTGGCTCTCAGCAACTGGGACCCTGGAGCTGCCCCAGAAAGGGACTGGAGGTGGAGGGGACCTCGCCTGTGAGGCTCAGCACCCCCTGGGCTCCCAGCACATTTCCCTGAGCCTCTCTGTGCAGAGGGAGCTTCTGGACGGGTGCCGGGGCAGACAGCCTGGTCGGTGTTGGGCTGTGAGAGGGGCCTAGATCTAGGAACAGAACCTCGCCCTCTTCTCGCCACTCCCAGGAGGCCCCGCTGGGTGCAGACACGTGAGTGAAGATCAGGAGGTCTCCCAACCCTTGGTTCTCACCTAATCAAGAGGCCCTCATGGGCACTGGCTTCCCCTTCACCTATGGCCTCACCTGGCGCTACTACTCCAGGTGAGCAGGCCTGCTCTTTTCTGGGGAAGCTGAGGATTGGCCCCCAAGTTCCAGATGGGGCTGAGCTGTCCTGTCCTGCCTGAGTTAGAATTGAAGTGGCCGATGCTAATCTGAGGCCCGTGTTGGCTCTGCGGGTGTGGAGGCCCCCAGGGGAGCAGGGCTGAGAGGCCTGACTGAGCACCTCCTGCTCAAGACAGAACTCAGATGTGGACACCCGGCCCTGCGGGACAGATGCAGGACATCACTATCAGCCATGGCTCAGCCCTTCTGACCACTGAGATGCTGCAACTTCCCCTCCTGGGAGGGAGTGATTGGGCAAACACTTACCCTTTGCTGGAAATCTCGAGGCACAGCACGGGTGCTCACAATCAGAATACAGAATGAATGAATGAATGAATGAATGAATGAATGAAATGTCTTTCCTCATCTCATGTGAGAGACTTGACAGTTCTTCCACTCTCCAAGTAACATCAGCTTCCCCCATCCCAGCCCAGTCTGTCCTGGGCAGACAAAATTAATTAAGCGTCTCCTGGGCAGACACTGGCGCAGGAGACAGGGCCCAGGAGACCTGTGTGATTTGGGCAATTCACTTCCTATCTCTGTCCATTCAGGCTGCTACAACAAAATACCGTAAACTACTGGTTTACAAACAACAGAAATTCATTTCTCACGGTTCTGGGGGCTGGGAAGTCCAAGACCAAGGTGCCAGCAGGTTTGGTGTCTGGAGACAGTTTGCTTCCTCATAGATGGTGCCTTCTCCTTATGTTCTCATGTGGTAGAAGGGCTGTACAAATTCCCTTGGGTCTCTCAGATTTGGGAACTAATCCCATGAGACTAATCCCAGAGTCCTCATAGCCTAATCACCTCCCGAAACAATATACCTTCTGATACTATCACATGGGGATTCAAATTTCAACAAAGGAATTTTGAGGTGACATATTCAGACCATAGCACTTGTCACTGTGGACCTTAATGTCTTCCTCTCCAAATTGTGGAAGTGGGAGTAGAGGGCTTGTCAGCTCCCCTGGGTCATACGTGGTTCATAAGTTCCTCCTTTCCACAGATTCTATGGCTTCCTCAAGTCTCTACTTCCCATTTTTTTTTTCTGATTTTAATTGCCAATTGGGGACTGTGGGAAAGAGATGGGCCATGGTCCAGAGCCCTTCTGAGGCAGGAAGAGAATAGAAAAATAAGGCAGGAGCATAGCAAAGAGAATTAAAAGTTGGATAAAGAGCAGAATAAATAAAAGCAGAGAGCAGAAGCAAGGTGAGGGGACAGGTAAGCAAGAAGCAAGAGGCAGAAGTTGAGCAGCCAAAACAAAAAGTAAGATAGAGAAGCAAGCAAGGACCCCCGTGGCCAGCAGGATCTGGACCAAACCAGTAAGGGGCAGTTCTTCAGAGCTAGACATGTGCATTAGAGAGAAAAAGTATCCTTAACCTGACCCTGTATGATAATCAGCTCATTAAAGCTCATGCATATGGACTGCATATTATCCATGTACTTAAAATTATGGGATTGGTCAAAGTAACTAAGCAACATACTTAACCATCAAAAAGGCAGACACTGGCCAGGCGCATTGGCTCATGCCTGTAATCCCAGCATTTTGGGAGGCCAAGGTGGGCGGATCACTTGAGGTCAGGAATTTGGGACCAGCCTGACCAACCTGGTGAAACCCCATCTCTACTAAAAACACAAAAATTAGCCAGGCATGGTGGCGGGTGCCTGTAGTCCCAGCTACTAGGGAGGCTGAGGCAGAAGAATCGCTTGAACCCAGAAGGTTGAGGCTGCAGTGAGCCAAGATCATGCCACTGCACTCAAGCTTGGGTGACAGAGTGAGACTCTGTCCCCACCTCACCTCACCTCCACCCCTTCCCCTCCAAAAAGGCAGACGCTGGCTAGAGATTTAGCAGCCTTGGGAAGCGAAGAAAAGCAAACATACATAAAAGGACCCTGCAGGATTCCCCATCTTGCTAACTGCATGACAGTCCCTCCTACCTACTCTCTCTCAGGCCAGGCATGGATAAAGAGTTTTCTCCTCTCTGTCCTCCCTTTCTTCTCTATGGCCCCACATTCACCAAATCTTGTGCATTTTTCCTCCCTAAGAATGGCTAGCATTGCTCCCACCCCCAAGAATCCTAAACCCTCTCAATGCTGAGGACTGAGGATCTCCGTCTTGGGCTTTCTCACCTCCCTGCCTATTGTGTCTCTTGCCCTGATGGGAGGAATTGTTCAGAAGCCATCACTGACCAGTTTCTTTGCATTTGGATGGCTGTTCCCACTTCCAACACTGTCTAGAGCAGAAGCCAGAAAACACTATCTGGAAAGGCTAGATGGGAAATATTTTTGGCTTTCTGGGCTACACAGTCTCATTGCAGCTCCTCAACTCTACTCTTATAGCAGGAAATTAGCCATAGACCATGTGTAAATGGTGAGCTGGCTGTGTGCCAATAAAACTTTATTTATAAAAACAAGCAGTGGATTGAATTTGTCCTAAGAGCTCTAGTTTGACAAGCTCTAACCTAGAGAGAAAGCTCAAACTTTATAACTGCAGCCCTGCACATTCTCGTCTCTTAAACATCTACCTCTCCAGTAGGGCTGGAATTAGCGTGAGATGAGTGAGGTCCTAGCCTAGCGTACACAATTTAAGAAGGTGCCAGAAATCTCAGTAATTGTGACAGTTTTTTATAACTTTTATCTTGGGTTTGGGGGTACACGTGCGGGTTTGTTACATGCATGAACTCTTGTTACAGGGGTTTGTTTTACAGATTATTTTGTCACTCAGGTACTAAGCCTAGTACCCCATAGTTACTTTTTTTCTGTTCCTCTCTCTCCTCCCACCCTCCACCCTCAAGTAGGCCCCAGTGTCTGTTGTTCTCTTCTTTGTGTTCATGAGTTATCATAATTTAGCTCTCACTTATAAGTGAGAACATGCAGTATTTGGTTTTCTGTTCCTGTGTTCATTTGCTAAGGATAATGGCCTCCAGCACCATCCATGTTCCCACAAAAGACACAATCTCATTCTTTTTTATGGCTGCACAGTATTCCATGGTGTATAGGTACCATATTTTCTTTATCCATTCTATCATCGATAATTTCTTTGACTGACTTATCCTCCCCACACCACCAAACTGTGAGCTTCCTAAGGGCAGGGGCCCCATCCAAATCAAGGCCCTGTGATTCTCTCTCACTTACCCTCTTCCTGCGCATCTTATAATTCACACATAGATATTCATTTGTTTGACAGTCATTTTTGCCAACTTCCCTCAATTAAAAAGTGAGCTTCAGGAGGTCAGGGCCAACACTACTGTGTCCACCACAGTCCATCCAGCACCTGGCTCAGGGCCTCCCATACAGAGGGCCTCAGCAGGACTCCAGGCTTTGGGGTCAGAAGGGATGGACTGGATTGGGTCCTGGCATAACAGGGAGTTTGGGCACGCTACTTTCTTCATGGGGTTGTTGTGGGAAGTTAATAAGATTAATAAACACCAAACGAGGTGCTCATTAAGGGTTAAATATTGCAGGAAAGTATAAATGAAGGAGATTTATATAATAAATCTCTATAATATGAATTCTATAATATGAATTCATATTATAGAGATTTATTATATAATATCATTCTATAATATGAACATGGGATAGAGGCAGGAACTCATGAAGTTTAATTGTATCCAGAGCGATATGTCCAAACCAACCAACCAATCAAACAACTTGTGACTCTCCCTTCCTTATCCTATTTCCATTGCTCTGCTCTGACTCCCTTCTCTCTCTCCATTCAGGGTACCTTGATTGAGTCCTGGGCAGACGACAGCCCCCGACACCATGGCCTGGCTGCCCCCTCCTCAGGGGAGGAAGGAGAGATCCAGTATGCATCCCTCAGCTTCCATAAGGTGGGGCCTCAGGACCTGTGGGGACAAGAGGCCACCAACATGAGTATTCGGAGATCAAGATCCCCAAGTGAGAAACTGCAGAGACTTGGGCTTGTTTGAGGGTTCACAACCCCTCCGGTAAAGGAGTCCGAGGCCGATTCCTGTAGAATTAACAGCCCTCGAAGCTGTGCAACAGGACATCAGAGCTTATTCCTCCTGTCTAACTGAAAATGCATGCCTGCCTTTCCCCATCTAATCAGTCCACACTCCCCGCCCCAGCCTCTGGTACCCATGATTCTCCTCTCTACTTCTCTGAGGATGTCTATTTTAGATTCCAAATATAATGAGATCGTAACGTGTTTGTTTCTCTGTGCCTGGCTTATTTCACTCAACATAACATCCTCTAAGTTCATCTGTGTTGTTTCAAATGACAGAGTCATGTATTGAATAATTCAAAATAACTAAAAGAGAGAAGTTTAAATGTTGTCACAAAAAAAAAGATAAATATTTGAGCTGACGCATATGCTAATCGTGCTGACTTGATGGTTCCATGGTGCATCCGGGTGAGGGGGCCTCACTGGGGCTGCGTTCAGGTCGCTCAGGTTCTCAGGGCAGGGCTGGAATTTAATCCCTGCCTGATTCTGAGGTATCTTCTCTCACCTGGCACTGAGTAAAGCAACCACTGATTGGGCACCCCTTGGCCATAAGTCCGCAGCATCTCTGTTGACTCCATGGCCTCTGGTGAAGGAATCTGAGAACCTGGACATGCCAGAGCTCTCTGAGAAAGGAGGCGCCTGAAATTACAGCCCAGCTCTGCGCATGGCCTGCCCCAGCCTGCATAGCTCTGATCAGTGGATAGAGCCTCCAATGACCATGCTGCCCATGATTTCATCCCCAGGGCCCCGATTGGGTCTGCAGACCTCCCCCAGGAGCCCCCATCTCCAGACCTTGGTGTGACTGGGCTGGGTCCCTCTCTTGTCAGTCCTTTCCAGAAAGACCCTGGACCCTTTCCAGCCTCACAGGTCCTGTGGAGACCCCTAGCCCTTCTCCATCACCTTCTCCTCACCTGCTTGCCCTTCTGGTCTTGTCCTTAAGTCTGGGGTGGACAGTCATGGAGGCTGATGTGCCCTATGGGGAGAAATCAGGGAAGAAGTCGCATCTCAGGTCCATAAGAAACACGGGAGAGTCCTGGGTAGAGGGAGGTGAAGATGCCCAACTTCCCACCAAGTCCAAGCCCAATCCCTCCCCACGTGGGACCCTAGGAGGTGGAGAAGATGGTCTGGGGGCTTCACCTCTGCACCAAGAGTCCTCAACATCTCCATACTTTTAAAGATTTCCGAGGGCGATGTAAGACGATGCCATTGTGTGGGGGAAGGAGGCCGCCAGGTGAAGCTGAGGAAGAAGTTGGCACTGCTGGCCTAACTACCAGGGGATAGTATAACAACGCGGATGATAATAGTAATTTACTTCACACCGACTATATGCCAGGCACTATGACAGGGTTACCTTTAACCCTCCCAGCAGCCAAGCAAGACACATACTTTAACCCCATTTGCAGATGCAGAAATTCGGAGGTGCAGAGAGGTGAAGTTACTTGCCCAAAATCACACAGCAAGAACATGACAGAGGCCAATATTCACACCCACGGGAAAGTCAGTAAGGGAACCTCAGGGTGGAGGTACAAGGTCCTGGCACCTGGACGTGGATAGAAATGCATGGTGTGTGTGTGTGTGTGTGTGTGTGTGTGTGCGTGCGCGTGTGTGTATGCCTGAGTGAGCATAACACCACATCTGTGGGTCTGTGCAGGGCTGTGTCTAGGGGTAAGACATTTCCAGGTGTGTGACCTCGTCAAAGTCCTGCAGAGGGTCCTGCCTCCTCCTCTCCCCAGCCCTTGCTCTGGGAGTTTCCGGCTGTGCCCCTGGATGGGGACGGCCCCAGCCTCCTCCCCTCCTTTGCTTCCAGTTGCCCTTCCCTCAGCCCTGGGAGGCTCCTGCAGCATCCAGCTTCTCTTACCCACCAGGAAGAGCCCCCTCCGCAGCCTCCATCTGGGTCTGGAAAGGTCTGTGAGCTGCCAGGGTCCTCCAGGAAGAGGGGTCCCTCCGAGATGCAACTCCCTCCCTCTGCTCTGCTCCCTCCCAGACCTGTGTCTCCTGGCACAGAGGCTGCGGGTCTCATCTCCCAGCCCTCGGGGCAGCCTTTCCTCTCCAGGGTGAACTCCGACCAGCACGGGTGGGGCCTGGGGAGGATGGCGCTTGTGAACCCAACCTTATCTTTATGGCTTTATGTTGCCTTTAGTTTATTATTTATTTACTTATTTTCATATTTGTTTACCTTATTTTGACCTGGCTATCAAACGAGCAAGAAAGCAAACAAACAAACAAACAAAAAAGACAGCTCACTGTTGGGACAATTGGGAAATATGGAAAAGCACAGCAAAGCCTCAGATTTCCAGGTGTCCTGTTTCCGTTTGGTTTGGTTTTCCTACTTAGGACCTCGCCCAATTTATTTTATTTTAGAATTGTCATGTAGGTTACCTATTTCTTATAAAAATGATATTGAAAGAAGGGGTTGAAGAGTCAAGTGCACTGGATTAGTACACATTTGCCACCTCACAGGATTCAACCATTTCGATAATTTTTTTATTGATAAACAGGAAATGCATATCACAAGCCTCACATTGAAGCCTGAAACACAAGTCCAATCCCGACAACAGTGTGCACGTGAATGCGCCAAACAAGCTCTGGGAACTCACGTCTCCTGGATCGCCTACGATATGAGCTTTGTCCCCCTGGCTGTGACGCGGTTCATCCCCTAATAGTGCACACGCTTCTGCAGAGACCGAGTCCATTTCCAAACCTCCTGCAGGTTTGCTGTCTTGGCCAGGATGGCGCCTCAAGCAGGACCCTTTGTGGTTTTCACCGGCAGTGCTAGAAGCTTTGATTCAGAGGGAGCACAGAGCAACTAAAAACAAAACCAAAACAGTTCCCAGATAAAGAGAAATTCACAACAGCTTCCGGGAGGGAAACACCAACTTTTCTTAGCGTGGGAGGCAGGCTGAAAGGAAGACCCTCAGACTTGTCACAGATGCTTCTTCATGCGTCCCGCCAGAAACGTACAAACCAGGCGAGTTTAAGACAAGTCCCCAAGGTGGGGAACTCTTGGCGTTCTGGGATAATTTAAGTTCTGCACCAAGGATCCTATTTTATCACTTGGGTGGTGAGTAGAGAAACAAACACAAATGCCAACAAAAAAATCCAACAAGCTGGTGCCATCCTGACCATTCCCGGCATGAGTGTTGCCTGCACCGTGGCACACACGGTCTCCCCTGCCAGGAGCTGGCCGCCTTGTGGTCCCTGCGCCTTCCCAGGGTGCCCAAGGGGTAGGTTGGCAGCCCCCTGGTCCCCCACACCACCATCAGCATTGAGCTGCCCAAAGTATTAATATCAGGCCACCGAGACGCTGCTCTTCTCTCATGCAGGTGCTATGTTTACAGTGCTAATTTCGCTGGAACAACAAAAATCAGTTCCAAGGCCCTTACACACTCAAGATTTTTGAAACAAAATTAAAACAGGAGAGGGACAAAGGACCACACAGGAACGGCTGTCCATTGGACCAAGATGTTCTGCAGTGTATTCATAGTAACCCACGGGGAGGAACCTGGAGCAGTTCTCCCTCTTCCCCGAAACGGTTTCTTAAAAAGTAGCTTGTTTGGCCAGGCGCAGTGGCTCATGTCTGTAATCCCAGCACTTTGGGAGGCCAAGGCGGAAGGATCACGAGGTAAGGAGTTTGAGACCAGCCTGGCCAATACGGTGAAACCCCGTCTCTACTAAAAATACAAAAATAGCTGGGTGTGGTGGCATGTGCCTGTAATCCCAGCTACTCAGGAGGCTGAGGCAGGAGAATCGCTTGAACCCGGAAGGTGGAGGTTGCAGTGCACCAAGATCGTGCCACTGCACTCCAGCCGGGCGACAGAGTGAGACTCCGTCTTAAATAAATAAATAAATAAATAAATAAATAAATAAATAAATAAAAAGGCTGGGAGCAGTGGCTCACACCTGTAATCCCAGCACTTTGGGAGGCTGAGGCGGGCAGATCACAAGGTCAAGAGATTGAGACTATCCTGGCCAACATACTGAAAACCCATCTCTACTAAAAGTACAAAAATTAGCTGGGTGTGGTGATGCATGCCTGTAATCCCAGCTACTCAGGAGGCTGAGGCAGGAGAATCGCTTGAACCGGGGGGCAGAGTTTGCAGTGAGCTGAGATCACGCCATTGTACTCTCCAGCCTGGGTGAAAGAGCAAGCTCTGTCTCAAAAAAAAAAAAAAAAAAAAAAAAAAAAAAAAAAACAGCAAAGTATTCTTAAAAGTCCTAACTCTGCAGGAATGTTAATGACGTTTGGCTTCAACATGCGGCCGTGCACCTTTCCTTAGCTGTACAGGTGAGAACTGGAAAATCTTCAGTCTGTGACTGTAAATACATCACACTCTGCCTGCTGTAAGCAATTGGTTTGTGTAGGTTCCATTTGCCCTGTTGGTCCCAGGTGAGCTGTTTATTCCCTTCAGACCCCAAGTAAATAAGTGAAAGTCTGTTAGCAATTTCCGGCCTGATGAGAGGGGCCTCCCAGAGAGAACTCCACGCCTCCTTTCCAGGTATCATCGGCAGTCGCCTAAATCGGTAGCTGAAGAAGAGATTCATCCAAAGGAATAAGGGGACCCCTAAAAACAGCCTTCACCCTTTCCCATGGCAGCCTCTGCTCCCACGTGGACTTCTCACTTTTCCATCTCTCGATCTCTGTCTTGTCTGTTGCATATGGAGTGGATTCAGTAGCCAAACAACTGCAGTGAAAGTGAAAACAGACAATCCTCAAGGCACAGCAAGGTCGGCAGGATGACAATTATTGGAGGTAAGAATTCACTGCATTCAGTCCGCTGTCCCCGGACACAGGAGATAAACTGAAATCCACAGAGAATCAGACCGTGGGCTGAAGACGGAGCTGTCCACATAGGAAAGAGCACGGAAAACTCAGATTCTTATCTCCTACACCACTGCTCACCCTCAGGCTGTGGTGACCCGTTTTGCAAACACATCTCTTGCAAGAACAGCAGTGGTGGGCACGCTCTGGCTTTGTAGGCTGGTGGGCCAGTTCAGGTTCTTGACTTCGCTAGGCAAAAGAATTTGAGAGTGAGTCCAACGTAAAAGTAAGCAAGAGAGTTAATGGCAAAGTGAAAGTGCACTCTGACAGCAGGTCAGAGCGGCTGCTCAAACATGAGACGGCACTGACTGACGCTGGGGAAACTCCCTTTAGGGGAATCTTCCGTGATTACTCACGCGGGGGTGGGACGGTGTTGCTCTTAAGC